AAAGTAGGGGGTTTTGGTGTTAAAGTCACAGATGAGACCCTGTCAGACCCTGCTGTGCTGCAGACCAGCACCACAAAAAGGCGTTGCGGGTCCCGCGCTTGCAAATGGGTAGAGGGAGACAAACAGGAAACACCGTCCAGAAACATGGGAAACGCTGCACCAACACATCGAGCACTGGCAGATTAATCACAGTCAAACTTCATAAGCTTCATAAGACAAGAGTGTTTTAATGAGGGATGCAAGGGAGGAGTTTTGTAGACCTGACGGCAGGGAACAGCACGGCCCGAAGTAGGCAGTGCCTCTCTGCTCACGCCGGGGAATGACGGAAGCTGGAAGCACAAGCCAGCTGCAGGAGTTTTCAATACCCTGACACTGAGCAAGAGATGTTCAGTGAGGTAAGAGGCACCTGCAGAAGCCCAAAACCGAGCAGTATGCTTGAAGCAACAGAAACAAAGAAGCACCTAAAAAGATGCAAAGGGATGACAGGAGCGTAACAGCAACAAAGATGAAAATTACACAAACAATTGTCAGGAAAATTTTCTTAGAGACAGCACTCTCAATAAGAAAGCACAACAAGAAGGCATTAAACAAAGCCACAGAAAATACCACCAAAGTAACTGAGACTGACAGCAGAGAGACAGAGTTTTAGCCTCTAACTTAGAGATGTTACTGAAGTTTCAAGAGGTACAAGAACACGCTGAAGGACACATCAAAGAAACAAGTGAAATTCAGAGAAAGAGTACAGTAATGCCAAGAGAACAACACTGAAAAAAACAGAAGCAATACAGGATACAGTAATGACGTTTAACTCCTAAAGCAAGATGTCGCTTGGGTGTTGACAATATTCCCGCACTGTAAAAGGAAGAAAGGTAATCACAAATAACTCAGGATGGAATTGGAAAAGAAAAAGCAACCTCTGTGCATTCAATGAACCTCAATTACAGTTTTAAACGAGTTAGTTTGAAAGCCAGGTAAGAAAGCAAAGAGCACATCATAGACTAAACTGCCCTAGCGAGAAGCGGCTGGGGTACTAGTGAGTTAGCCTTCACCTCTAGAGGTAAAGTGCAGATGGGATGATAATTAATGAAAATGTCATGTTAGAAGTGTGATTTTTAAGAAAAAAAGTGACTGAAACATGGCCTTTTTTCCCCCCTCAGAGGGGTAGAATTGAGAGGAAGGTAGGAGACCAAAGAAAAAGGTTGGGAGAAAAGTAAGAATTAACTTGAGACGTGATTACTTAAATAGGCAGGTTAGAAAAGGTTAGATGAGAAACACCTACAACTGCAGCAAGAGAAGTGGGAGAGAAGCCTGGACAGATGCATGCTCTGTTTTGTTACCATGCCCTTGGTATTTGTACACCGAAAGCAGTGTAAGCTTACGTGATGTTTATAGTAAGGAAAGTTTAATGTTAACTTTCCTGGCGAGGACAGCCACAGCCAGCGTGAGGCCAGCGGTGCTGTGTGCGAGCCCACTGCAAGCCCTGCACCCTCTCTGGTTCCAGTTACCCGATTTCCTGGACTATTTTTCTCAACTTCACATGATGCAAATCCTTTACTCAAACCAGAAGAAGCTGTTGGTATATAGTGTTCTTCCACTCCCTTTGACCAAAATAAGGGAAATCTAAATTTTACGTGGAAAAGCAAAAAACTTTAGAAGTCTACTGAATAACCTAAAAAATTAAGAGTGCAGTTAATTTAGTCCTTTACCCCCAAACTTAAAACATTTGACGGTAATTCTGTAAAAAAAGATTCAGGTTTCACATTTGCTCATATTGCAACACATATGTCTTCTTTCCCATTTTAGGTTCTATTTCTGCAGGTCATTCTGCCTTTGACAGCCTTTCCGTCCACCCATGCAAATCTACCCGCAAAACAGCCTTTTAAGAAACAACGTAAAACTAAAAGATATCGCAGCTTTCCCAGTTCTTGGCAAGGCGCTTAGGAACGAAAGGAGGAAACGCAGAAGGGAAGGAAAAGCAGATGACAGAGGATGGAAAAAGGGTTGTTTTGTTTTGGTGTTTAAAAAAAAAAAAAAAAAAAACAAAAACACACTAAGCCTCTTCCTTAGGCACTCTTGTCTCATTAGCATTTTGTGTCCTCTTTCTTCCCAAACTGCAATATTTAACGAATTCAGCACAAAAACAGTCTGAGGATGCTTCATGTAAACTCAGCAATAATCAGCCCCACGGCCAATAAACTCTTCACCCTCATAGTTTATTTGCTGCTAAGCCTTGGCCTGCAGCCTTGGAATTTATTCTGCCTGCACTACAGCTATTTCCTTGTAAACAGGAAGCCCCCTCAAATTTGCATTACAGTAAACTCATTTACTTCATTTAGTGTCAGTCTTATCTCAAAGATAAAACGGTGCCGACAGGTGTACCGGGCTCCAGCAAAGAGGCAAACTGTAATAGGGGGGTAAAACCTCCGTAATCTCGAGGAGATAACGTCAGCAGCACAGGACGCCCCGGCTGGGCAGCGGTTGCCCGCTGGAGATAAACCGACACCGAACGCATTCCTGCGAGAAGAGCACTGCAATAAGGCAGACACATTTATTTTCAAGCGTGGATGTGATATTCCAGTGACCTTCCCGGTCTCCGTCCCAGTGTCGGCCAGGAGCCCAACACGGCCACGGCTGCTCACAGCCCGGCGTTACAAAGCTGTGCTCACGCTCCTCCGAGGAGCTGCTCTCACACACACACACAGAGAAATAAAATTATTTGGAAAAATGGTTTGATTTCAAACTCATGCAAGAGAGGACTTCGCGTGTTGTATTTTTTTTTTACTGTTACTATATCAACCTGCATTTAACCAGCCGATTTATATAATTTTAAATGAATCGCTTTGCCAGTGATACAGAATATTTAAGTATATCCAACACACCATGTCTGCTTTAATGAGAGAGATCGAAAAAAAACAACCAGAAACCAGCATGAAGACATCTGACACCAAAATAACGGTCACAATTTCCTACTGTATGAGGAAATCCCTGGTTTCAGTTAGAAGCTGAGAAGTTCAGTCATTTTAAGCAACCTAGAGCCGTTTGTGGTCCCAGGCTTAGGTAAGTCTCTGTTCTCATTTATGTCCACGCTTCCTCTCATTCATCTGCTGAGCTGTCTTACACGTTCCCCTGTGCCACAGCACCCTGGCACCACTGTCAGCTGCGAACCTCTCCCTCGCTAAAGGCTTCTTCACCTTCTTCAGAGCACAACAGTCCAGGGGGGAATGGCAATCAGTCTTTTTCCTTTACTACTTCATGCAGTCTGCAAACTGGTTCTTCCACGGGCAGCTCTGGGGCGAGGCATTTCAGCCGCGCAACCCTCCACCTTTCCTCCTACCCCGCGAAACTTCCTCTTGCACACGCTGCCGCTTCCCACCCCGCGGGTGAACCACCTCTCCGAGTGCGGGTAGACCACCAACCGTCGACGAAATGCGAATCGTGGAGAAAGAGAGCAGCATGCCGTGGGTTCTCCAGGCCTCGCTTCGCACGAGGGGACGTCGGTCCGGGCAGCAGCTTTCCAGCCTCCCCAGGAGAGCCAAGGGTGCCATTACTTCTCACGGCGGCGGAGGGACTCCTCCCCTGCACACCCGCCGCGTCCCCACCGTTCACCTCCCCGGAGGGGTCACGTCCCTGTGGCAAACAGGCAGCACCACTGCACAGCACTGACAGTAAGGACAGCAGCAGGCACAGAACCAAAGCACTGATAAATGTAAAGCTACCGGCACTCCCAGTAAAGCATACTGCACCTCAGGCTCAATTTTATGGATATCATTCTTACAAGCATACACATACCAGGAGAAAAACAGGCACCCCCATCTGCCCAGCAAGCCATCCTCAACCGGACCTTAAAAAACTTCTTTATCTGAGGTTTCACTGCCTCTGCCAGGGGGGATGAACGTAGGCTGGCACCCCTGTGCCCCTCGCCTTCCCCTGCGCTCCCCAGAATTCAAGCATAAAGGCAATATAAACGAGCGAACAAGTGAGAAGAGGGCTTCGGTGATCCCTTGTTCGCGGCAGACAGCTAGGCTAGGCCACCCGTAGGCTTGCAAACTGCCTACACATTTTGCAGTAAATTCTGGTTTAGATTTTCTTCTGTTGCAACGTTTTGTTTGCCGGCTAAATTTTTGTCTTAAATGTACATACGCAGAGCCATGAAAGAGAGGGAAAGCTTACTTTTCATTTCAGCAATAAATAAGCGATGCTCAGGTGCTTTTATAACACACGCGTAACCAGGGACTGTTGTTCAGGAGAAAAGCTGCATTTACCACCGAACCCCAAGAAAACCTCAGCTATGCCGAGGCACCCATCCGCTCACCCGGCGAGACCCGTGGAAGCCCAGAGCGGTGGAGCTGGCGGCGAGACCGAGACCTGCACTAGTTCATCGCTCCACACCACCTCTGCTCCGTGAGCTGCTTGCTAAGAGAAACAACCCTCTCGCCCAAGCCTATCTCCCTCCCCGCATCTCCCTGGCTCTGTCGTCGAACCTCATGAAGCATCACCAAAAAAAAAAAATTAAAAAAAAAAAAAAAAAATTAAAAAAAAAAGGCAAAACCAAACCGCACAGCTCTGCAGAAGAAACCGGCGAGAACAATCCCGTTCGGTTTTACCATTTTATTTAGCTCACCGCTTCAAGCCTTCCTCACCCACTGGATGAGGCAATCAAGTTTGGGCTCAATTAAACGCACCCGACCCGCGGGGTGGGTTTTACCCCCCCCCCCCCCCCCCCGCGGCTTCTCCACATCTTTCACCTCCCGAGAAACGCCCGCAGAAGTTGCTCCGACTAAACGCAGCCCTAACCCGACCCCGCTCCTCGCTCCGGCCGCACAGCCGGGCGCTGCCGCCGCCAGCCCGCACCCACCGGAGGCCGCGGGGGGCCCGGGCACGGCGGGAGGGCCGGCCGCCGCCAGACCGTTATGTTCGGCACCGCGGGAGGGGAGGCGGGGGGAGGCCGCCGGGCAGCGGCCGGGACCGGGCAGGGGCTCCCGGTCCGGGGCGGGCGGTACCTGGGCTCGGGCAGGGTGATCTTCTTGCTGGCCCTGGCCGCCGGGGTGCTCTTGCTCTTCTCCATCGCCATCAGGTAGCTGACATCGGCCAGCACCGCCTCCAGGTCCGCCATGTTCCCGCTCCCGCCGCCGGGCTGCAGATGGAGGCTCCGCCGGGGGCAGCCGCCCCCGAGGGCGGGCGGGCGGGGGGGGGGGGGGGGGGGGGGGTTTGGCGGCGGGTGGGTGAAGCGGGCGAGGCGGGCGGCAGCTCCCCCCTCCGCCGGTGCCGCCGAGCGCCTCCCGGCTGCGCGTCTGCGTGTGTGTGTGTGTGTGTGTGTGTGTGTGTGTGTGTGAGCACGGCGGCGGCGGGGTGGGGGGGGGCAGCGGCCGCCTCCCCGCCCTCCGCGCCCGGGGCCGCCGGCCCTGCGCGCCCGCGGCGGGCGGGAGGGCGGGAACCCCCCCACCACCCCCACCCACACACACACCGCCCCCGCAGCCCCCCTCCCTCCCCTCCACCGGCCCCTCAGCGCCCGCCCGCCCCCGCCGGGCCCATGGCGGCGGCAGGGCAGCCCGGCGCGAGCTCCCGCAGCCCTACGCGGCGCCGGGCGGGCAGGACCGGGGGAGCCCGCGGGGCTCGGCGGCCATGGAGCGGGCGGCGCGGCCGCAGGGGCTGCCCGGCGGCGGCGTGAGGGGGGCTGCGGCGCGGCGGCGCCTGATAAAACCCGGACCTGGATTGCGCGGAGCCCGCTGGAGCGCGGAGGGGGATCCCGGGGGAAAGCGCGGAGCGACGCGTGGGGTGGGGAGGGGGGGGGGGGGGCGGCCGCCGCCGGGGTGTGAGGGGTTCGGGGTCCCGCATCGCTCCGCGCCGCAGGTGAGGGCGGGAGCCCGCTGACCCCGGGGCGGGGGGGAAGTGAAGCAAACACTGTGAGTTTTATCGATCTTAAGCAACCGCGGAGGCGGCCTCGTTGTTTATTGATGGATCTCAGAGGGGGGTTGAGGGTCCCGCGGACACGGGGCGGGGGGGGGGGGGAGGCAGAAGCCAAAGCCGGGCTGCGATGGCCTGCCTGCGCTTCAGCCTCGGTGCCCAGCCTCGAAAATTAATTTCCTCGCGGTTTATTGAAACGCAATATGCGCTAAAAAAAAAAAAAAAAAAAAAAAAAATCCTGAAAAAAACACAACTGGGATACAAATAAGTGCACCTGTACAAAACATGCACACCGCACTCTCGCTCGTTGAAGCTCTTTTGCTGCCAAAATAACGGTGCACAGCAAGGCTGCGTGCCGAAAGCAGCCGGTCTGCTGTCTGGGTGCTCCCGCGCGTCCTTGGGCGCTGAGCGCAGCTCCTTCGCTCGTATTCCTCGTCGAAAAATGTAGTAGTGGCTCCGCTGCAGCCAAGCAGATATGCAGATTTCAACATCTTTCTTTTCTGAATTTCGTCAAACCTGTCATAAATAATTGGCTCAATGAAAGGCTAAGTCAATGACAAGTCTGAAGTTTAAAACTCAGCTTGTTTTGAGCTGCCTTCAAGTGCCGCCACTCCTCCTTCCTACATCTTTATGAAAGTTAATGATCTGATTAAAGCTAGGTAGAGTATACAGCTGGAAGGATTTCACTGTGCGGCTCATTATGAACCGTCTGAGAGCCCACTTTTTCTTGAAAATGTGAATTTAAGCCAACCCTTTTCGCTGGAACAGATCCTTTGGGGCAGGTTTCTCTGCCGCCAGTGACGTTCCTGATGGGCACGGAGCAGTGCTGAGATTTTGGGTGATCAAGCGAGGGGTGGAAGGGAGCAGGGGGGGCGTGGGGCATGTCCCTCGCGCCCGCCCGGCAGAGCCGTCTTGCTCAAGCCTCCCGTTGCTCTCGGTGAAGCCATCCAGGCGCACGCAGCTGTGCACCCTCATCAGCGATTGCAGAATTATTGTCTAGTTAGTTGTAAACACATAAGTATACACGATGCCCTGCGCTGTAGCGCACTAATCTACCCACTAAAGCAAAACCCGTGGTCTGCACCTCATCTACAGTGTCATTTTAGAGTTTTGAAATGCTTGGGTTTTGATGAGAAAGGCTGGTGTTGTCTAGTGACAGGTCCAAAGCTGTTTGGCTCCACTGTTAAAAGGAATATTCTAGTTTATTTAACCAGGAGTAAGCATTTGCCACCCTTACCACGGCCTTAGCCTGGTTACATGAGCACACCCGTGCATCTTGCAGGCACCTCCAAAGCGGCGGCTGAGCCGCAGCTCCTGCAGCCCCTCTGTCCTTCACCGCTCACGGATATTTCCATGGAGAGAACTGGTTTTCATTTCCTGAAATGCAAACGTGCAGAAGAAGCAACAGCGCTGCAGGGAGGTTGTCAGCGCTGACCTGATAGTGTTGCTAAACACCACCATCACGATGCAACCGCGCCGAGGGGAGGGAAAAGCAAACAGAAACCCATTACTGCCCGCCCGGCACTGCCTCGCCAAAGAAGGCCTTTCTGTGTTCTAGAATATTTACATGACTTTACAGCGATGATGATACCAATAATGGCCACGAAAATGCCACTTAGGGTTCATAATGCTCTCCTTTTTATTCCCATGCCACGTTTTCACCATTATTATCTTGGATATTATTGTAACGCACGCTTCACCAGCATGCTTGGTGACAATTTCTAGGAAGTCATGTTTGCTGATGGCCAATACAGAAAGTCAGTTAAGGAACTTGTTCCCTTCTTTCTGCTCTTGTGTTTCCTTTGGTGCTAGCTGGCATGGCAGCAGCAGCTAGAACCAAAACAGTAGTGAGTTATGAGAAAAGGTGTTCTCATCACCATTTATTTAAAAAGTGTATCATCTGCAGCGCAGTCGGAGGTGGTGGCATGTCCCCGTCAGCATGCTTCTGGCTACCAGAGTTCCAACTTACACCCAGCATGGGGGCAGGGGAGGGCTGCTTATGAATTGTGATCTCTTGCAGCATGGTAAACTCACACATTTTGCAGTTTTGTATTCAGAGGGTTTGAAGATCCCTTGGACGGGCATTTTTTTAATGACGGAGTGGAAGCAAACCTAACTTTCTTCCTGAAGCTGAAGCGAGCAGAACAGGTAGTGCTGGCATCCACTGCAGGGAAGCTCATTTCCTGCAGCTTTTCTGAGCGCTTGTTTGTATCCCAGGTTTAGTGTTTGTGTGTATTGCAGGTGGGGCTTGCTTTCTTGGTGTGTGTTGTTTTATGTGTTGCCTGTTGGATTCAGTGTTTGTGTGTAGCATTTACGTGTGTTTGTAAACAGTGCTCTGTGCCTGTGGGTGTATTCCCCAAGGTAAAGGGAACCTTGAATTAATCGATGCCAGGGTTGGCAGCGGTCAGAATATGATACACTCACACACGCTCCGAATGCATCTAAGTACCTCCTGACATTTCTGTGAATGCTGATTGATACTGTTCAATCAATTTAAGTGTGTCTTGAGGCCTCTCTGGGCTTGAGCGCAGGGTTTTACGTGCATCCATGGCAGAGCCAAGAAAACCTGCCTCCTCTCTGGTGTTCCTTCCTTCCGAGGAGTCTGTTTCTCCTACCATCTGTATAAGATTTAAATGTTTAATTTTGCACTGCTCTGCTTCACAGGATGACAGATGATATTATAGAGAGTAATGAGTCTAAAGTAGATTTATTAGTGCACCCTTTACTAACACCATCCTGCTGAGATAATGGTGCAAAATGGCACACCAGGATGGAGGTGTATTCACCCTGCTGCCCTCAAACCTGTGGCAAATCTGATAACAGATAAGATCTCTGCTGCTATGCGTGGCTAATGATAACAATACACCTCGAGGGGAATGTTCACATAGAAGATTGTTAAACGCTGTTTTTAAAATATTTCTAATGTATTACCAGAAACGCACGTAGTTTGATATTAAGAGCATTAAGCAGTGTTTAGCTCTGATCCCTCCATGGGATGCTGCTGTCTACAGAGAGAGCAAGCCTGCACTCCTTGCTCCTCCTCAGCAGCGCTGGTACAGGGTAATATATTCATTGGCGATGGAACCCGATGGGATCTGACTCGCCGTGGCTTGTTTGTGCAGTAGCCAAGCAGAGAGGTGACATTTTGCTGCTTCCTCTACTTCTGGCAGTATTATCTGGGGTGTGATCGTGTACTTGGCTGAAAGAGAGAGGGCAGAAATCCCCTCCCCACACCGCCTCCACCGAGCTCCTCTCGCCGGAGCGTTTTAAATCAGCTTCTGACCTCCGGGTTACCTGGAGGTAAAGCACAGGAGCTGCAGCTCCTGCTTAATGAAGTTGTGCGAGGATTCGTTAGTAAGCAACAGTGAAGTGCCCAGGGGACAGCAAGAGGTAAATAAATGCAAACTATTCTTAGTAAAAACTAGGCAGTGTAAGCCCTCCTCAGCCGACCGTGCCCTGCAGCAGAGACGGGAAGGTGCAGAGTCACCGCTCCCACGCTCGGCGCTGTGGGACACGGAGCAGAGGGACACGGTCAGCCCAGCATCCCCAGGAAAACAGCCTCATGCTATCCCTGTTGCCTCTCGGATTCACTGGGCTCCGGGGTGGCTTTGGCCCCTCGGGACAGAGCAGGGCAGGAGGCACATCCAGGCCGAGCACACGGGCATTCCTCTGCAGCATCCGCACCGAGACTGGAGTTGCAGTCCATCTCCTTAATGCTACGCTAATAAGCAGTGAGAGGCAATGTGGAAAACAAATGGAGTAATTAATGGCCATTTCTGCTGCTGGTTTTATTCACTGACTATTCCAGAAGGAGCAATTTTACAGAAAACAGCCTCTGCCTTGACAGTGCCGTTGCATTAGGCACCCTCAATCTCAGGAGGGGAATCTGCGCTGCAGCTCTGGCCTCCTGGAGAAACGCAATGGCTCCTCTGCATCTCTACAAATTCACCCCGCTTTCTCCTGGACACTCTTAACAAAGGTACTTCAACCACCTCTGAGAGGTAAAGCAGTCAATGTAATTTATCATCAGCACAGTCCTCTTTGTGACTAGCTGATGTGATGATGAGGCTAAGTTTTAGTTGGGAAACAAATGACAGTTAAATTCTCAAAAATATTATTCACCATCCAACATTTGTACTTGAATGTCTGACTAGTAAGAATAATGTCCTCTGGGGACAGAGATAAGAACAGAGGTGAAAGTCACGCAGCATCCTGAGCCGTGCATGAGAGGTACGGGTCCTTCGGTTTGCAATGGCATCACAGCATTTCTCTCACCACTATAATAAAAAAATTTTTCAGACATTTTCCTCCACGCATTTTCTTAAACTGACATGCCACACAGAAATGTCCTGTTGCTGTCCCCTTCCTCAGTCTGCACCTTGCCAGGCTGCCCGTTCATTATCCGAGGCTGCTATTTTCTCCACAGCTGCCTGAGAGCCAGGCAGATTGT